AGCCAACTGCCAAATTCTCCAACTTCGGTTGCAGTAATCCAGGTATATTCTTGCTATGATCCGAGTAAGTCCAAAGTCCTTACCCTTCATTTTCCTATGTCCTAGAACCACTAAATTCTGGAGCTTTCCTCAACCCTTTTTTTCTGCCATCTTCAAATAACCCCCTGGTTTGCCCCCTCTGTGCTGTACTCACGAGATAACCTCGAAAGCTGCCCGCTAGTCCTCTGAGCCTACTCATCTTGGTCAACGATCACAGGCTTGTCCCCTCCGTCCTCAACAAAACTTCCAGATCAGCTACCATAACACAAACCTACCTCGCAGATCATCTGCCACCACTCACTAAACTCAGCCAACCCTGAAGATTCACCACTTTGCTCACACTTCAAATAACACAATTACATCTCATAATTAATATACATCACCTTGCAAAATAGTTCATGTGGCTTTAACATTTCAGATTTTGTCACATTACAAACACAAACCTCTATGTCTTTCATTGGGATTTTTCATAGTACATCAACTCAAAGCAGTGTATAATTGTGATGTGTTTATTTTTTAGGGTTTTTCTTTTGGGTTGTGTTTCTACCAGCTTTACACAACTAGCAATTGCATTTTGCCCATTCTTTGCAAAATAGCTCAATCTCAGTCAGACTGGGTGAAGAGCATCTGTTAATATTGATTTTCAAATTTTGCCCTTGATTCCTAATTGGATATAGGTCTGGACTCTGACTTAGCCTTTCCAACACATGAAGAGTGACCTAAATTCCCATTGTAGCCCTGGCTGCATGTTCAGGGCTGCTATCCTGCCGGAAGGTGAACCTCTACCCTATAGTCTCAGGTCTGTTTTAGCCTTTATAAGGTTTTCTTCCAGGATTACCCCATATTTAGCTCCATCATTTTCCCACCAACTCTAGCTTCCCTGGCCCTGCTGAACCTCCACCATGTTTAACCATGGGGATGATGCGTTCAGGGTGTAGTGTTTTGCATGTAGGCTAAGAAGTTAAATTTTGGTCTTATCTGACCAGAACACCTTCTTCAGTGTGTTTGCTATGTTCCCTACGTGCATCATTTCCTTCTACTTTAGAATTATGCACTACTTTGTGTTGGTCTATCATTTTAAATCCAAATAAAATACTCTGACGTTTGTAGTTGTAATGTGACAAATGTGGAAATGCTCAAGGGTTATGAATATGTTTACAAGGCGCACCACTAATCTGCCTCTCTTACTTAGAAACCTTCCTGAATTGCTGCCATCACATAAGCTTTAAACCTGCACCAGACAATTACCTCAGTAAACATTTCCAACTTCAATATCAAGTGTGTACAAAGCAGTAGAGAGGACAGCTCTAAGTGCCATCAAAACAGAGTTGGTCAAACCCAAAGGTCTCCTAAAAACTATCATGATGGGAGCCATTTTTCACGTTTTCTGGTGCTCTATAACTCTCAAGTAAAAATTTCTTAAACGACTCCATACTCCATATTTGGCATCCAGCTGTTAACGCTGCATTGGAGGTCTGCAAATTATTTAATCAAATTTTCTTTAGTTTCAATAAACTTCAGTGCAGCTCAGTTGATTTATACGGTCCCAATACACAACAAATGTAGTTTCAAGGCCTATTACAGACAAACTGATCCTATTCATATCCAGAAATAGTTGATCAAATCAAGCAAACTTTTTAGAGCAACATTGTGGTTTACCACGAGAAACTGAATCATAATGAGGTCATTCGGCTCCACTGTGAGGAAGGGTAATCATAGCATGACACACTTACAAATGACCCCATTCGTTATGTCACAGGATGATTTAAAGGGCGTGCCTGCAAGGGTCATTGCCTTACACCAAAATGACTTGACTGATGATGGATTGTAGGATATGTTCCAATGCTATTATTTGAATTATTGAGCACATTCCTAATCAATGGCTGGGGAGAAGTGAGGTGCTTCATTTCCAAATGAAGCAGGAAGAGTTCATTCCTCTGAGGCTTCCTAAGAAAAGGCTCTGATTTGGTGAGTGGTGTGTGTCAAGTTTTAGACAGTTCTTAAGTTTTTATGTTGTTTATACCCACAGTTATTAAAGAGTTACATTATAAATAAAATCTTTGTAAATACTAGTTCCTTTTTATTCAGGATGTCCTTTCAGTCTGAAACATGAACATTTTCATAAAAGTTTTAAAAGACAAATTTTGTGCTTTATGAGCCTTGGAATGGTTGAAGGAGATATACTCATTTAAACTACTAAAGATCCTTTTCAGTTGAGTGAACAAGTAAGGCACCTTATCACATATTCAGTTCACCAAAAATTGGTGAAAAAGGCCCACAGCATCACAGATTTTTTTCTAGCTTGCCTCCCACTTGGTTGGTGTGTTGATAGCCTTTAATGGTTTTTATGGAGACAAGGTGTCCTCTAAAGTGCTTTTCTTTGCTGCAGTTCTCAAACAGTAAGCTTGGATCCCATTCTCCAGAATAAAATCTGGCAGGGTAAACATTGGTTCCTGTCCAGTCTTATTTGCCACAATTTTCTAATTGTTTTTGAGCATTTTAATAATTGCTCTAAGTGTAAATATGAGCAAGTTTAGTTGAATAGGTATTTTCTTGTATTTGTTTAATGATTATTGAAAATCAACACGTCTGCCTTACTTAATGGAATGTTATCGTCTTTCTAATGTCTTTAAAGAGGCCGTTATGTGGTGGTAAATTGATTAATACAAAAATTAGACACATTAGATAATAATAATAATAATACTTAAAATAATACTTAAAAGCAAGAATACATTTAAAATAAATTATTCTCTAAATTTAGATAGCTGTTGCAACATTTACTTAATTCTGAGAAAATCATTTCATGTCCAACAATCTTCGGTAAATTTTCTGAGATGCTGTGACTGAAGATTTTCTGGACCTAAATTCATTACATCCATGCCTAATAAAGTGCTTACATTTTATGCCAAAAATGTAATTGAAGAAAGAGAAAAGCAGAAAAAACCCATTTTAACAGGTATGCATTTTCTTTACAGTATAATCTACTGTTTCAGTGCAATCTACAGGATACATGACCACTCTGCAATAAGAATAAGCGATATGAAAGGCTCCAGTCAGTCTTTAATATTAGCAAATTTTAAGTGAGACATCTGTGTGCCCTCTGGAGCTCTCAGATTAAACAGAATGAAAACCCCTTTGAAAAGGAATATGGTGATTGATTTTCCCATTTTCTTTGAAATTGAAATTTTGCTCAGTGTATTAAAAGACATACCAACTCTGGTCAGAGGACATAGCAAAGTCTTCTAATTTACGAATTAAAAGGGATAACTTTAGAAATGAGAATCATTTAACTCTGTTCTAACTTCTCAAATGTAGAATTCGCTGCAGATTAAACTGATGACCAGAGAGTGGTAGCAGTGTATAACTTCCTGAATGTGGCCACAGCAGAGATAAGCAGGCTTGGTGCTGACTGAATGTTGTCCAGTGTAAATATGTCAAAGACAGCAGGGGAGGAGAAAACAACATAAACAACAGAACGCCTCTTGTGTTTTTTGTTCAACTTGTGGTAATTTGTTCAGGTGTGTGTCTGACAGAAGTAAATGATAAAATTACATGAGAATTTCCTGTAAAAGATGTTAATGAACATATTAAGTCTTGGCAATGTACAAGTGTAGCTGAATGGAGGCAGAGCAAAATCTTTTCTTACCTTTTAGGAGCAATACAAATTCAGTGCCATGTTTTAAGATCAATCTGTGCAACAGTGCAAGATAAACCCAGTTCAGCAGCTGTCCTTTCAGCAATTTGTTCTGTCCTTTCGTTGTAAGACCCATTAGTGTGGGAAGCAGCGGGTGGCCGGGGCTGCAGCCCCAGACTAGTGACTGAAGGAGACAGCAACCTAACTAAACAGAAACTTTACAGAACCAGCAGCAAAGAACATACTGTTTTTATTGTTGTGGAGATGTAAACAAAAACTATTAGTAGAAGCACTGTTACATGAAGACAGGAATAAAAAAAGCTTTAAATTGCAAAAAGAGATTAACATAAATGGAGGAATAAAGAATTGATAAATGTTTGCAGTAGTTCATTTTGGTCACATTTCAAGGGAAGTTGGGGACATGGAACCGGTCAAATTCCTGGTTTCCAGGAGTTGTGGCAGACACAAATGAGGGGTTGACAAGAGTTTCGTAGTCCAGTGGATCTGGTAAATTCTTAAAGAGTGTATACCCCAAGGCATTTTGTGGAGGGTGCTGCAGTAATATGGGGTTCTGGGCGGCTTATATGGGTGGTCTGGTCCTTGTACAACGTTGGTCTACACCAGGGCCTTGACAGTGATCCTGTTTGTGGTGTGAATGTACAGGATCTCAAAGTGTGAGGAAGGAGGGTGTCTGGGATAACGTCTCACCTTTGTGATTTGTGGATAATGTGGTCTGTCATTTGATCAGGATACCTTCTAGATGCATCCCGTTGGAGGTTGAACAGGAACATCCCACTGAGAGGAGACCCCTGGGCAGAACAAAATTTGATCAAGGGACAATATCTCCCTTTCAGTGAATGCCATGGGATCCCTCAGAATGACATGAAAAGTGGAAAGTGCAGAATATAGTGGAGGGATCAGTTATTTTAGTCTAAATGACAGAGAACTTACAAAAAGTCTAACATTTTTTACTTAAGTGGGTTTTTCAGTTTAAGACAGTTTTCCTTGCAATAGATGCATACAAAAAGGCTGTTCATGCATTATTGCTAAATTCAATGTGCACTTTGTTTTTGAGAAAAGTAAAGCTTATATACAAAACCAACCAAAAGTTTATCAATTGATTTTGAGTATAAACGCTAACCACTCAGCTTTGAAAGCAATCATTCTGAGAAAAAAAGTTTAATCTAAGAAATATTGCCAGCAGATGTGCAGCAGTTAAATCTAAGTTGTTTTTTTTAAAGAATTTTTCGGCACTAGGGGCCTTTATTTTAGATAGTAGGTGGACAGGAAGGAGGGGCAAAGAGAGGGGGAGACATTCGGCAAAGGTCGCCAAGTCTGGGACTCGAATCCAGGACAGCCGCTTTGAGGACTATAGCCTCTATATGTGGTCGCATGCTAAACCCCTACACCACCAGCACTGAGCCTAAATCTAAGTTTTATAAGCTCCATCTAATTCTCACCCTCCTCTTCATCAGCTGGCATATGAATTTGACACTTTGCATGTGAAACTCATGTCCTGGAGGCATTGTTTTTATATAGTTATTTCTTTCATTTTTTTTTTCCATTTAGCAACCACTTTTACAGATACAGTGCTTTGCAAAAGAATTCATGCTGTTCAAACTCTTTCACATTTTTTCATGTTGCAAAGTTTAACATATCTTATTGGGATTTATGTAATAGACCAGGACAAAGTAGCAAGCAGTATTTGTGATGTAGAAGAAAGAAAATACCTTTCAAAACTTTCAAAATCTAATCAGTTCTCTAAAGTTCTCTTATCAGTTTTCATATGGCATTAACAAGACCAATGGACACATCAGACAAGTCAGGGATTAGTTCAGTGGAGATGTCTATGAGTAATTATGTTATAAAAAAATTTGTAAAACTTTGAACATTTGTCATAACACTGAAATGGCCTCACGTCACTTCAAACCCACCAACACATGGCTGTTCGCCTAAACTGACAGGCTGGGACACAGTCAAGTGACCCATGCAAAATCTGGAGGGCTTTAGGAACAACTGTAATGAAGAAAGCCGTTAGTAAAAGAAAGCCGTAAAAAATCCTTTCTGTAACTGGCCACAAACCATGCAGGGGACACAGTAAACATGTGGAGGAAGATTCTCTGGCCAGAGGACACCATATTGACCTTTCTAGTCTACTGGATATCCTGCTGAGCACAACATTACTCCTCTGAAACAGCATCATGATGTGGGAATGCTTTTCTTATAGCGGAGACACAAAAGATAGAAAGATAGAAAGATGGATGGAGCTAAAAACCGGGCAGAAATAAAAAATGTTAGAGGGAGGCAAAAGCCTTGGACTGGGGTGAAGAGTCACCTTTCAGCAAGACAACATCCCTAAACATACTGTCAGAGCTGCGATGGTATGGGTTACATCGAAGCTTATCCGTGTGTTAAAACGGTTGGGTCAAAGTCCAGGCCTAAATCCTACTCAGAATCTGAGGTAAGACTTGAACACTGCTGTTCTCAGATACTCTCAAGCATTCTGGATAAGCTGGAGCTATTATGAAAGAAAGAATGGACCAAAATCTTCTGCCTATTTGATATTTTGATATTTGAATACATGAATCAGATGTTCCTGACCAGATTTCTGTAATCAGTTGCCTGATTGCAGTCTGTTTACAGTATTTGTCATGATCCATGGGTGTTTGGGTTTTGATTTACTTTTGAGTTTGTTTTGATGTTGGGACCATGGATTTCAACATTAAAACTCCGGTATACACTTTTCTGGAGTTGTCAAAATTAATTGCATTTAACAGACTTTCAGCACAATTTCAGAAGGGGAAAAGGGGGGTAACAGCAGACTTCCCATGATGCCACTGGCTGTATAAAAACACCCCCTTTGCAATGGCCCGCTCTCTCCAAGCCGGTTGACCATCGGACCAGGAGGAGACACAGCGTGCTGAGGTCTTTTTGCTGGCAAAAGGACTTAAACTCATTAAACTGGATCCAAGAGTCTCATATGATCACCGATCATATGCAAAAGTTGAATGCACACAGTGTTCGAGAGAAGTCCCCAGCAGAGACGTGGTCTCTACAACCCGAGTGAAGCGGTTTTCCTTGCCTGAGAGAAGGACGACGAGTAGCCGCATTATCGGTAACGTGCAGTTTTGGCCGACCGACAGAACGGGCCCCAACCCACAGCTTCGTTAGGTTAGCCGAAGGCTAATCGCTTGTTGACTGTGGACGTTTCTTCAAACTTCGCCGCCCCGGACATCTTTTCCTCAACATGGTCAGAGGTTAGGTTTGGGCAGAATAACAGTTAGGATGAAATGATCTAAACGTTTTTTCATTTTATGAAGTTTGGTTTTGTTTGTGTGAAACTGCTATCTTAGTGCTAGCAGGCTATCTGCCGCACACGTGATCAGCTTTGTGTTCTGTGTTTGTGTTTTTAAAGTTAAGACAAACTTTATTTAAAGGGTGATTTTAAACACAGAAGGTTGCTCATAACGCGCCGTCCGCGCTTATGCATTTTAACCCTTTTATTGACCCTGGTATTTTAAAGGTATGTGTTTGGTTCTGGTGCTAAGCTATCGGCCTCCTTTGTTAGCTTAACTGCTAACAGCTTTAGAACACGTGCTCACTACAGAATATTTAACAGAAAGCTTGTTAGTTTTCAAGTTAGTGAATAATAATCTCTAAACATTATTTTACTAAATCTGATAACTAAGTAAACACCATTAAGCCCCATTTCTCCAGAAAGATTTGGCTCTTTTCCAAATATTCCCTTAATAATATTTCTTCAAATATTATTTTAATAAATAAAGGCAACTAATTAGACACCATTGAGTAATTATTCATCAAGAAGGTTGGTTTTATTCAGCAGATCATTCTTGAAAGCATTATTTTGATAAAATAATATTTTATCTGATCTTGCATTGTGAATGGTTGTCTAAAGGTATGCTGATTACTGCCTAAATTGGTTCCAAGACTAACTTAACTTCATTTCCAGATTCTTCAAGATAATCCTTGGTTCTCAAACATAAACATTGCATGGTTATATTGCATCACTCTTTTGGTCATGGTTTTCAACCATCTTTAATCAACTTGTTTATATTGTACATAGCCCATTAGTCTTTGTTATTCTTTAATTCTGCTTGGTAGTTTAGTTGGATAGTTTTAGCATAGTAAAGAGTTTGTTGATTGAAATATGTTTGACTTTGAGTTGACTTATTTTTGTTAATAAATTCTTGTATTTTAAGAAATTGTGTGAATTCATGTGTGTGCAGAGTTTATGCTGTTCAATAATGTCAGAGCTTGGCTCACACCTTTCAACTTTGTCCTAATACCATCACCTTACTGGGCTGGTATTCACAAGACAACCCTTAACAGACCGAAATATTATTTGATAAAATATTAAAATATTAATATTAAATATTAAATAATATTGTCAGATTAATGATCACAACAGTGATCACTGCTGGGTTTATTGTTGTCAATAGGGTTTTGCCATATTTATTTCCTTGTGTTCAGTTTCCTGTTTATTTTGTGTGTTCTTGTTTTCTATGCATTTCTGCTTCTTCTCTTATGTTAGTTTCAGGCCCTTTCCTGTTGATTTGTATGTTCTTTTGAGTCTTTTGAGTTCAGCTCCCTTTGTGTTAATGTGGTAACGATCACACTGCAGGTCTTAATGCTCGATTTAGATTTTTTGCTGAAATCCATTTTTTAGTGCTCTTTCAGACTAATAGCTAAATGTGACCACAATCAGACTTCAGTCTACTCAAAATACAGTATGTACATATATGGGACACATATGGGTCATGCAGTGTGAGCGTAGCTTTATTTTCCCTGCCTTAGTTTCTCTGCTCTCATTCTGCCACAGCTGTTACACATCTACCCTCATTAGCTCACCTGGTTCCTTTGTCATTTTCCACTGCTTGCTAAGTATATTATCTATTTGGCTTGTATTGTTCGTTGACGGATTTTTCCAGTACACCTAATTAACTTTATTTCTAATCATTAAAACTCCTAATTTCATCTCATAGTCTCTGATTCTGCCTGCATTTGGGTCCAACTAAAATTAAACATAACAAAATTTGTGGACTGTTTCCCTGCAGAGAGGAGAAAAAACAGACATCAGAGTGCATACAAAATACAGGAGTCTTTCTCCTTTATTAAAAGGAGTAACAGGACATACCCCACCCTCACCTAGGGGCAATCCCTAGAATCGGTTAACACTCCAGTCACAAAGTAACAATCCTAACTGCTCAGCAAAATAGTCGAAGACACTGTTTCCTAAACACTATGTTGTAAATACTAATGTTTGGGTCACTGGAGATGGGGAAATGTGTTAAAACACATCGATGTCATTCTGTGGCAGGATTGGCATACCCTAAACAGACTTGTTTAAACTTTATGATATATAGAAAGCATATGCTTTCTTGTCTGTGAAATTCTCCCTTCTTTGTTAAGCATGTCTTTCAACAATAAATGAAAAATGCCACAAGAATGAAACAAAACATTTTTCAATATTCCATCCTCTAGCTTCTAGAGTCAAACCCCAAAAGGCTTACAGCTTTAGTAGTGTTGCCTAATGAGGGCTTAATACAAAGGAATCTTCTGGGACTTTTTTTTTCTTTGTAAAATGTTTGGAAAACCATGTATTTGTTTCATTTTATTTTGCAATTTTCCATTACTTTGTGTTACTCTGTCACCAAAAATCCCAGTAAAATACACTAATGTCTGTAATTCAAAAGATGTAAATATTGTGGCATGGCTCTGTAATTATAACAGCGAGTGTTTTCTGTAGTTCCTAATGCTGTAAAATCATTAAATAAATAAATTAATCATGGTTTCTTTGGAAGTTACCCCCACACAGATTTACATAATGTTTAAATAAGCATATTTCTCAACAACCTGCAACATCACACTACAGAGCCAGTAAAAACTGTAATAAAACAGTCAGACTTAAAAGCTATGCACAAACCTTGTTTTATGATTCCTTAAGATCAATAAAGTACAGTACAAACCCAAGCCGCAGTTGCCTCAGGACACAAGAAGAAGGTGTAGAGAGGAGGGTGCAGTATTTATATCTACATCTTGTAGACCTGGCTGGCCCGCAGAGCACACAGACCGCTGTTGAGGAGGATAGGATGTGACAGTATCCCTAGATCTGACCGAGCACCATGCTGGAGCTTCATGACACACTGCTATTTCTATTGGTTGCTTTTTGTCACTCTCCCACACGTGTGCAGGCACAAATACACACAACTCATAAACACCGCTGCAGCACTCAGAGTTAAACCACCCACTCTTTGTAACCTCTCTCTCCATCAGCCTCTATCCTATTTTCACATTAAATTAATGCCTCCACCCCTCAAGAAACACTACTCAAAATCATGACTGCGCTGTCCAGAGAGAATGAAGGAAGGGAGATGAGGATGGAAAGAGTACAAAGAGGAAGAG